TTTTCCTTGATACTTGTGAACGTTTAAATTGTTAATAAATTGTATTCTATCGATGATGCTCTGTAATTAATTGGAAAATCGATTTTCTACGGTTGAATTAATCCATCGAAACGGCTTTTTACACTTGGAAAATTCGATCTAACTACAAGAGCAAATGAAATTCGATCGTTAAACGATTAAAAGCTGTTTGTACCTGTCAAAAGCAACTGTTCAATGAATTGTGTACGATATATCGAATCTATTATTACATAGTTCTTTCTTTCGTTTGATCGAGTTAATCAATTCTACAAAGGAACGACTAAACAAATCATTTTAACTAAATATCTGTAGTTTAGAATTTGGAAATTTAATTGGATATTTTTTTTGTCTTTCGAAATAAACAAATATCCTATATGATTGTTCTCGTTCTCTATTTTATTTTCTTTTTTTTTTTTTCTTTTCCTTTTTTTTCTTTTTTTTCCTCAAAATAATCGCTTATCTATTATTTTTAAAAATTATTTAATCTTCCTCTCTCTCTCTCTCTCTCTTTTAATTTTAAAAAATTTCTAAAACAAATCATTACACAAAACTCGAACGTCGTAATTGATTGCTAGAGTAAAAGGGAAAAAAAGAAGAAATAAAAAAAATTTCTAAATATACTATCGGATTTACTCGTCCTGTTATTTTTTTTTTTTTTTTTTTAGTAATTACTTCTACGTAATTACGCACAAATACCTTTTTCAATTGCATCACAATTGTTTACTTTATTTCAATACTTATGATTTTACAAAAAAAAGAAAAAAAAAAAAAAAGAAAAAATGAATTGAAAACATATTGGATCGATTCATAAATAAGTATAAAGCTTTAATACAAAGAACTGCTTATTTATGACATTAATAATATGAATCAAATCAATAATATATGAAAGTAATGTAAATACGTAAACATATGTATTTTCATCGATCAGATGACTTTGGGTATTCTCCAAAGAAAAGAAAAAAAAGAAAAAAAAAAAAAAAAAGAAGAATAAATGTAAAAATACAGACTTCTTATTCACTCCTCGTAAAATATTTATACAATGAACATTGAAAGTATCGAAGCATACTTCGTTCTATGAATCTTTCATGAGTATACATCTTCACGTAAATTTTCAATTTTTTCCCTTTTTATTAATCTCATGGCGATCTATCGAAAATCTTCTTTATTTATTTATTTCTTTCTTTTCTTTCTTTTCTTCTTTTTTCTCTTATTCTTTCACGTGAATTTCTCTTTACCATCGTATCGTTAATTTCGTGTGTATACACGAGTATATAACATCAGTAAGTGCATCATCCCATAAACAGCAATTTCTATTTCCTATAATCGCAATATAGCCTCTGCTCTATCGTACTCGGCACCATTATGACGTCTTTATTAAGTTCTTGTGTTTTATTGGTGTCTGCCGACGAAATACATCCTCTTCTCATTCGAATATCTTATTACGACGATTAAACTTTAAAGCATCCTAATTGGTAACTTAGAAGATCGAAGATGGAGAGAGAGAGAGAGAGAGAGAAAGAGAAAAAAAAGAAAAAAAAAAAAAAAAAAAAAAAGAAACAGAGAAATAAATGATATCAATAAAAATATTCGTGGAAGGCAAAAAAGAATTTTATATGAAATTCAACGTACGATTTCATCTAGAGAATTTAATTTAAAAAATTCGATTTACGGGCCGATTAATATAAAAACGAACAAAAAACTTTTTCGAAGAGAATCAAATTAAAGTTCCGTTATATTTTCACAAAAAAAAAAAAAAAAAAAAAAAAAAAAAGAAAAAAAAGAAAAAAGAAAAAAAAATGTTAACGTTTTAATTCATACGTTTTAATTCTAACGTTTAATTCTATGATAACGTTTTAATTCTATGATTAGAAAACTGAAGGAAACAAAAATAGATCATTGAGAAAGTGAAATAATTTTATTCAACATACAACGTTCGATTTCATTGAGAGAAATAAAAATATAAACGAATATACAATATAGTTTTATAAAAACGTTAACGTTCTAATAATTGTACGTAAACGTTTTAACTATTAAGACAGATATTAAAAAATAAAAAAAAAAAAAAAAAAAAAAGAGAGAAAGAGAAAGAGAGAGAGAGAGAGAGAGAATATTTATCTACGTTTACTTACTTCTACATTTCCTCACTTTTTACGATCTCAAGTCATAAAAGATATATTTACATTCCGAAATAATTAAAAGTTATTCAAGCGTAACACACGCTGTTACATATCCAACCTGGTTTGCAACGATCGAAAGAAATAAGCGTAACTGTTAATTCTTTTTTTTTTTTTTTTATTATTTTTCTTTTTCTTTCTTTTCTTTTTAAATCATTATCAACATAGTTAACATGACATAGTTCTCTCCGTTGTTCGCTATTCCAAGAATTCCTAAGAAAGATAATCGAAAAATTTCTCGTGAGATAAATTTCCTCGTGAGAAATCGACGTTGTCGATCGACAAGATAATTATCTTTCTAAATTTGAAATATATAGAATTAATCTTTAAGGAATATCACAGTTTGAAATTTCATTCTAAGGGGATTTAAAAAAACAAAAAAACAAAAAAACAAAAAAACAAGTGAAACTTACGAAGTAATTCAATAATTCCTCACGACAAATTAATTTTTTCTTCCTTTTTCTTTTTTTTTTTTCTTTTTCTTTTTCTTTTTGTTATAATCTCTATTCAACAATGAACGATAATAAAAAGAGAAGAAAAATGGAAAAGGAAATTTTTCTAATTGCATTTATTTTTCTTATTGATTTTTTAGAATGATTTTCTAGAATTAAAAAAGAAAAAAAAAAGAAAAGAAACAAAAAGAAAAAGAAAAGAAAAAAAGAAAAAAAATAATAATATACATACAGCGAACATATTGGAAATTTCATCTCGCGACAATATTAACGTAATTTTACGTTAGAATAATTTTCAAAGATTAAATGAAAAAAAACTTAAGACTTTGTTTCCTTAGAAGGAAGAAACATATTAGAAGAAATGATACGAGAGATTTATCACGTTGTAATAACAAAGAATGAAATTCAAATTATGAAGAAAATAATCGCAATGATAACAACTTTTCTATCTTTTTGAAAAAAAAAAAAAAATTGCGTTTATCTCTCTCTCTCTCTCTCTCTCTCTCTCTCTTTCTCTTCTTTTTTCTTATTCCCTAATAATTCAAAAGAAACAAAACTTTTTCGATACGGCAATCTTTGAAATTGATTTATTATATATTCGGATATATAACGCGTTCGCATCAAATCTATGATCAAATCATTGGCTCAAATTTTGGGCCGATCAATTGAAATGAAAAATTAATTTTTATTTTTTCAAATTAAATGTCACACTTAAAGAAATGAGAAATAAATGAATAAGTAAGTAAATAAACGAATGTATGAATGAATGATTGAATGTATGAATACATGCATGCATAAATGAATGAATGAATGAATGAATGATTGAATGAATGAATGATTGAATGAACGAATAAATAAATAAGAAAAAATAGGGAAAATAAAGATAAAAAAGAAAAAAGGAACAGAAAATGGGGAAAAAAAAATAAAAAAAAAAAAAAGAAAAAGAAAAAAAATAAAAAATTAACACAAAAACTAGAACGTAATTTATAAGCTACAAGTTTATCGTTTTACGTGTAAATTCTGTCTCATGTAATATATGTATACTTTCACGATAACCACAAAGTTCTTGCTCGACGATATTTAGACCTTTTTTCTTTTTTTCTTTTTTTTTTTTTTCTTCTTCCTTTTCTTTTTCTTTTTCTCTCATGGGTATTGCCAAGCCCATGACCTCTTATTTATCCTAAGTGCGAGAGGAGAGATAAAAAATAAGGATATTTTCTCTAAGGCCATAACACTTTCTCGGAAGTAAATGTAGTCGTATACCGAATACACGTTGATAATAAAAAAAAAAAAAAAGAACAAACAAATAAATATATAAATAAAGAAAGAAAGAAAGAATGAAAGAAGAAAAAGTAATAAAGAAGGAAAAAATGATTTCCGGATGATATACGTGTTTTCATTTTCCGAGTTATCCTACATTTTCTTTACCCCCATCCCTATTTTCTATTATTATACGTGACGCCTGGTTGTCTCGAAGAAAACTGTTCAAAGTTTTCCCATATCGATACGTTGACCGATATATTTCAATTTCTTTCATGACTTATATAAACACACAATATATGATGTTCTTTTCGATACTATAAATAGATACATACATACATACATACATACATGCATACATATATACATACATATATACGTACATAAATATATGTACATCCTATATTTTTTATTTCAGCAAATCTTAAAGGACACTTTGGAAGAAAGGATATTTAAAGTTTAAAGAACGAGATGGACGACGAGGCGTCTATTTTCTGGGCAGTTATCCTGATGATCGGTGGTATCGCAATGATGACAATATTACTCGCTTGCTATGCCTGTCTTTTTCGAGATTTGTGCTGTCGAACCGACGAAAGATCTAAAAGGAGACGAACGATTCGTCGGATTTCTTTACAAGAAGCTGATGAAAATAATAGGCAAAAATTCGACGCAATACCTATGAACGATATTACTCAAGGCGATAGTATGCCTACGGAATCGGAAAAAGTTTAAAAAGACGTATAAAAACTATAACGTTCTTTGTCATTATCATTGTTAATTGTATATCGACGAAACCATTTGTATATCCTTGATCGTTTTAATAAAACAAGGGAAAAAAGAAAAGAAGAAGAAGAAGAAGAAGAAGAAGAAGAAGAAGAAGAAGAAGAAAAAGAAAAGGCAAAAGTAAAAGAAAAGAAAAAAAGAAAAGGTAAAAAAAAAAACAAGTAAAATAAAAAAGTCAAGAAAATGAAGAGAAAAAAAAATAAATAAGAGAATAACACTTTCTCGAATTATCGAAGAGAGATAACAATTTTTACACTGTCTTGTGTGGACCATAGTGTTAAGAGTCTGTGAGGTATTAAATTTTATTCCAAGCTGCGATTTCGTAGATCTTTTTTCTTATGTATGTACATATTTAGATACACATCGATATACATATGTCGCGTCTCGTCACACATATACGCGAGTATGTACACGACGAAGTGTGATGTGTATGTGTGTGAATGTATGTCTGTGTATGTGTGTGTGTGTGTGTTTATGTATATATATATATGTATGTTTAATAGAAAAATCTGATAAAAATATTCAACACATCATCTTTTACACGCGGCCAATAATAACAACGTGGATTCATATTACGCGCCAAAAATCACAGAATGGCGCCAATTTCTTCTATGCCTATGATCGTATATAAAATAAATCTCTATGTATATTTTCGTCGTGCGATCATTTTATAAGCTACCCGTATATATATATATACATATATATACACATATATATATATATATATATGAATATATATACATACATACATACATACATATATATGTATATATGTATTTTTTATCTCATTTTTTTTTGTTTTGTTTATTTATTATTATTTTTTTTTTTCTTTTTTATTTCTTGTACGACACTCATCTCCCATCCCCTCTGGTAACTTCATTGACGATCGGTTTAAGTATCCCTTTGAAAGATATAGATACAAGTTGATAAAACAGGGATATTGTGCGATGGAGACAACTCCGATGGTACATTCGACTAGCTGATTTGGTTGTTGAGTTGCTGTAAAACGGAAAGTACTACCTCGCGAAGAGTCTGAAAGTAATTTGTTCTCGTTAATGCGAACGAGTCCAATTATATTCCTATTGTTTGTTTGTTTGTTTGTTTGTTTGTTCGTTCGTTTGTTTGTTCTTTTGTTTGTCTGTTTTTTTTTTGTTTCTTTTTCTTTTTGACAACATGTTTGGATAAACAATAAATTGGATGAGTCACCTGAGGCTTGCAATGTTCCTCTAACCAACTAAACACGCAACCGGACAATTCTGCAAAATTCGCAACGGAGATGTTGTTGAAACTTTGAAATAAACGATCCATAATCGCCTGAAACTAAAAATAGAAAAAAAGAAGTACAAAAATAATGCTACGATATGATATCATAATAATAATAATAATAATAATAATAATAAAAAAAGAAGAAAAGCGATAAAAGAATTTTGGGAAATGAAATAAAAGGGGTGAAAACAAAAAGATTTCTCTACCACTTGGAATTTCGTTTCATCCGATATACGCATTTCTGCATGACCAGGTTGTGTTTGATGAGCTTTCACAATCTGTTCATAATTAGCCTGCATAATACGTAGAGCAACAACTTCTTTTCTCAATGCATTACGTTCATCCTCTTGTTTCTTTTTTTGCTGCAACAAAAACTGTATATAATCTATAGATTTTTGAAGTACTGTAGCTTTGGATAATTTGTAACCGGATGAGTCGGTGTGCTGACAAGTAGGCACTAAATTTTGAAGCGAATCATATCCCTTTTTAATGGCATCTCTACGCTTTTGCTCGGCTTGTGTATGTGCTTCTCTACGTCGTTCTTTATAACTTATCGTTGAATTTTTATTATCACTGTCTTCATCCTCTGAAATCAAATCAAACCCACCTATTCCTGTTAAATATTATTTTCAAATGATAATATTTAAATGTAAATTGTCTATCATTATTCACCTGTATTATGAGCAGACGATGATGCAGTATTTACAGATCCTGTACTACTACAACGAGAGAAAGTATATTTTTCTGTAGGACTAGATGGTTCCAATTTCATATCAGCATTTGATCCAACAGCACCACTGCCTCCACGCATAGTTAAACTTTCTATTTCCATAATGAAAAAGCACAAAATAAAATCTTTAAGTATGTACAAGTCATATAAGATAATCATGATGAATTAAAAAATTGTATGAAAAATATTGTAATGATAAGATACTTCTACTAATAATGTACAAACAACAAAAGTGTCTCCCTCTCTTTCTATCTCTTATCAGAAACAATAAATAAGATCAATAAAAGTTCAAACAATGAGAGTAACAAAGTCATGAAAAAAAAAAGACAAAAAGAAAAACAAAAAAAATTGTTCCCTTACGTGTCTCGTATCCGTCCTTGTGCATAGTGTTTGCCATAATTGCGGTCGTAATTCTCGTCGCACTTAAAATCAATTGAAATGAAGATGAAAGACCAATATACACATGTGGTTATAGGTTATGATCGACAAGGAGATTCGAGAAAAAAAATTTGTGGAGACATCAGCTTGGTGCGATCGATTCGACGTGACGATTTATAAAATGATAAAGAGACATTTACATAAAGGCCGTTACTTTTGAGTCGAATTTTTATAACGTTTTCAATGATCCTGATACGCGTATATCGCTATAACACCGATCCATATTACACTCCATCTTCGACTGAAAGCAAACGAGTAACTATTGTCCTCCGCGACAATCAAGATTACCAATACGACACGTGTCTATCAACAATGATTAACAACGCTAACCTCACTTAAAATTTATCAGCTGTAGTTTATATTATATTAATCATACGTATGACGTATTTTAACGATTAAATATTAACAATTTAAAAAATAATTGAGAAAAATTAAATCGTTAAAATTAAAACACAACGTGCTATTAATTGATTTAATAAGAGATAAAAAAAAAATTTGATAATTGTAATATCAGTAAAATTTCAGATTTTTTTAGTCACATTCTACCTTATCGACTGAACTACCAGAAACGACGATTCGTAGAGTTTTTATTATTTCTGGAACTAGAACTTAAATGTTGTCAAGAGAAATATAACATGGATATATTAGATTTGAAATATACTTATTAAGTTAGAAATTCAGTGGGATAACAATGAAATTAGCAGCCAATTAGCTCGACAGTACTTGCATTGTTTACAATAATATTATACGTTTTTTCTTTTTTTTAAATTGCAAGTAATATCGATTGCCCAGGTCTCACCACGTGGAGGTTGCTGCATACGGAGACCCTATTTTCAATAAAAATCATAATAAATTATCAATAAGCAAAATGAGAAAGGTGAAAGAAGTTCTAATGGTTTAACGAGTTTCTATAAGAAAAACATGTTTACTCGACGACGTACGACGAGATAATAGCGTGTCAATGAGCGTATCGAGAACATTATTCGAGGTCGATACGTCGTGTTTGTTTTGTTTACGTTTTCTCTTTGCGACCACTCGAAGCTACGATTAAAAATTCGATATGATGCTAATTTTAAACGCATTACCTACGACGTTTAAAATATACTTCATCAAGGACGCCGTACAACTACACATATGTATATTAGTATTATCATATTTCAATGGTAATATTATATCGTTACAAAAGAACGAGAGAGGGAGGGAGAGGAAGAGAGAGAGAGAGAGAGAAAATAATAATACATCGAAAGATGATAAGAGATATTAAAGAAATTATATGAACGTAAAGATTGTTGATATAATTAGAAATAGAAAAGAAATATAATATTCTCACCTCTCTGATGACGACGTAAGAAGAACGAATGAAAAATCATGAAATTATACGGGGTTACCCCTTCTCTCACTAGTTCGGCCATGATGTTTGTTTTAATGGCGCGCAAATAATAGTATCATGGCGGCTACGATTTCATTGGTTATCTGATTTGCCGCGGATAAAAGCATTATTTTTAACATCGTATCATTTAAACTTGTATACAAATATTATGAAAAAGGAATGAACGATATTGGAATTGATAAAACGTTGATTTATCAATAATTATTTATGATTACTGATATCTTTCTCTTATCTTTTTTTTTTTTTTTTTTTTTTATTAATACAAAAAGGAAAATAATTCGAACGTGGTCTTCTCGTTTCTCCTTTTACCTATTATTCAAAATATCTAAAAGAGATTTAAAAGATTAAAAGAAAAAAAAAATTGAAGTATGTTAAATTATGTTTATTATAAGGTGTATCTAATATATATTTACAATCGTTTTAATACACGTAAAACCATTTAAGTTAATATATTTATATTTTTTTTTCTCGGAGTACGGCGTT